CCGCCGAGTACCTCATGATCGCTGTATTCGTCCTTAATCTGAGAGCCACCAGGAACTCAGGAACCGTCAGCCCGGAGACGACAGGCAATCTTAGCCAAAAGTTTGAGATCTGGTCATTAGCAAACACCTCAACCCCTTTGCCCTGCGACCTTTGGAGCTTCCATCTATTGTGTTCCAGGATTTTCATGTTAGCGGATCGCAGCTTTTGGGCTACTACGTCACCCAGGTCTTCGGGTGCAGCTACACCTGTGAGATCAAGGTATAGCTCCCTCACTTTGGCTTCCAGGTCAAGCAGCGAGGAGATCTCATGGGTAATTGGACACTCAGAGTGGATCATCTTGAGGAGTCTGTTTAGCCTCATGACCAGGACTTGTCTCTCTAGTCTAGGGATCGAGAGACCCCCATCTCTGAACCTGGCATATAGGAGACCGTCTGTTGTAGATCGGTCTAGGTGCAGCCAACCCTTAACTGCCACCTTAACCTTGGCATCAAGGGCCCTTAGCGAACCCCTGGAGAGTCCCGAGTGGTCACAGACATAGAGGAATCTAGGAAGGAGGTATGATCTCAGTACCATCAGCCTTTGGTGTGGTTTGATCCCGGCCTTGTCTATTTTGACAAGGCCGCTCTCGAGCTTCGGAGCCAGTGGGGAACAGCAGACTCCCTTCCACGGATGTATCTCAACCCCCAGATATTTTGCCTGCTCTTGTCCGCTCAGCATCCTGACAGGTTGGTCGTTGATGGTCCAGGTAGGACAGGCGTTCAGAACCCCTTTCCGACCCTTGTGTCCAATGTGGAATGCAACGCACTTGTCTGGGTTCACCGCCAATCCCACCCTGTCACAAAAGGCGTCCAACACTGCCAGGTTGGATCTCATGCCCTCCCAACTGCCACTAATCAGCACGAGATCGTCAGCGAATGCCATTGCAGCAACGGTAGCATCTTCACCAAACTCGAAGCCTGCTTTTACGTCATCCAGGGCATATAGCAATGGATCAAGTGCCAGATTGAAGAGGAGTGGGGATAGCGGGTCTCCCTGCTTAACTCCCAACTTTATTGGGATCTTCCTGGTGGGTCCCTCAGGCGTCCTTATTGAGGATGAGCAGCCCCTGTAACCATCCAAAATAATCTTGACCATCAGTTGGTCCACTCCCCTCCGAGTAAGCGTCTCTCCAATCAATCGGTGCGAAACCGTGTCAAATGCCTTGGCCAAGTCGATGAAGACGACGGCCAGTTCCCTCCTTTCTCTCTTTGCCAAAGATATTAGTCCGTTTAGGATCGTGAGGTTCTCGCTGCAACCTGAACCATTAACGAATCCTTTCTGGCGGGGGTGTACCTGGCAAGCAATTGAAAGTCGCGCGGCCAATATGTTAGAGAAGACCCTCAGGATGGTGGAGCTTATCGTTAGTGGCCGCCAGTTCCCAATCGCGCCACAGAGTGCTGGATCACTCGATTTGGGGATCAGGGTCGTCGTACTTGTTTTGAAGATTTTTGGGATCATCCCCGACCTCAACCAGTTATTGAATAACCCTGCCAACTTTAGCCCCTTCTTATCACAGAGGAGGAGCTGGGACCTCTGCAGCCCGTCGGGTCCTGGGCAGCTCTTTTTGGCCATTCTTTTCAAGGTTCGGATCACTTCCAACCCAGTAACTACTGGATGGAACTCCTTGTTGCTTGCCGCCGGGAGTTTCCCGAATCCTGCTAACGACTTATAACTGTCACGCCTGCACCAAGTCTGTTTATAAGACTCTTCGATGGTGGCCCTAGGGAGCGTGCAGTTTGGTGCGTCACCATCAAGGATGAACTGTGCGGCTTTAAGGGGGTCACGCCACCACAGGTCCTGGGTTAACTTATAAGCCTCCTTGGTGTACCTTGGTCGACGGGGTGCACTACGGACCTTACTTTGGCCGTTAAACTTTGTCATGCCCATTTTGTTTCTGAACTTTAACACAAGTTTCCTGGCTTCTCTGTCAATGCCAACTCTTGTGGTTTGCCCGGGGGGACCCCAGTTGGCTTGCATTATCTGCACAAGTTCGTTGACCCTCGGAACCTTCATCAGAGGCGTATTGAGCTTCTCCAGGAGGCTGGAGAGACCAGGGCTCGGGGGCTTTAGCATCAGTGGACCTTTGGACTTGCGCCCCATCTCAAGGTAGGCGCCAAGGTGAGCCAGTCTTAGGTGCTGGGAAAGGCCTCTCTGAGTCTTCAGTTGCTTTGCACATAACGCACAGGTGAGATCCCCCTCATCCTTCCTGATCACTCGCCCCAACCTGCATTTACTAGCATGTCCCGTCATGGAGCTCGTTTTGGAGGACGAGGTGCCGCATATAGCACACAGCAGGAGAATCTTTCTGGCGCCATGCGCTTTCCTGAAGTGGGCCCCAGCCAGTCCCAAGGAAGACAAGTTAGCTGCACACAAGGGACAGGGAGATGGGGTTTTCCAGGGTGCTCTGAGTCCAATCCAAATGTGCAAGGGTAGCCTGCCCTTAGTGAGCTCGGGTAAGCCCACTATTTTCTTCATGTAAGACATGAAGAGTACATTTTCAAGCGGCTTGGTCTTTGGGAAAAGAGTCCGCTTTAGGCCCTCATTGGTGGCTCCTCTTGGCAACTGTGGCGGTGGGGTGGAAAGCCGCCTCAGTGGCTCCCATTTTGGCCTCTTCACCATCTGCAGACTTTGTGGGGCTTGCTTGTCACCTCTTTTCCCCAGCGTCGGGGTGTGGAATCCGGGGTTTGGCCAGGACAGTTTCGGTCGGGTCTTGTCCTCCATTCCAACACCCCAATCTGCAAGAGTAATGAGAGTAACCACCAGGGAACCACCAAGGAGCTGTGAGGATAAACGAGACCGCCACCAGCATCCCCTCGGACCGGGGGAGCAGTAGCGGCCCCGAACATCTCCCAGCTTTCTCAGGGCCATACATACTCAAGGAACGGAACGAGGTCAGGCCCGCGCGACCGTACGCCCCTAACCGCGATGACCGATAGTCCAGTGCCCCAACAGTTAATCACCCCCCAGTAATGCTATGCAACAGGAGGGAGCAACTAGGGCTATGAACACCAAGGCCACCACAGTCCGACGCACGCTCAGCGAACGAGACACAGGATCACGACCACCAAGTTGCAGACCCACGACCACCACTTTTTGGCGAACTCGGCCGAGCCGACCAGCCCCAGGTCCGGAGAACCAGACAAGGGGAAGCCGCCACGGCCGCGAACACCTTTACCAACGCCACCGCATAACGAACACCCAGGGCACGTAATCCATGGTAGCCCCCGCCCCGACCGCGTGCCAGCAACCCCGACACCAACGGACGGGGCTCGAAACGAACGACCCCAAGCTCTGGCAAGCCAGATCAGAGGGAAGCCGCAACGGCCCCGAACGCCATACGATGCCGCGATTCGACGCGCGCCCAGGAGCAAGGGGACCAGGCCACGAAACCCCGGCCATACGCCTGCCGCCACCGCATCAGGCAGACAAGGCTGAGACGAACAACCCCAAGGCCCGGCGGACCGGGCCGGTGGGGAGGCCGCAACAGCCCCGCTTCCCAACGCTATCGCATAACGCACGCCCAGGGCACGCGACACAGGGCACCTCCCACCCCGACCGCGCGCCAGAAACCCAGACACCAACGGACGGGGCTCGAAACGAACGACCCCAAGCTCTGGCAAGCCAGATCAGAGGGAAGCCGCAACGGCCCCGAACGCCATACGATGCCGCGATTCGACGCGCGCCCAGGAGTAAGGGGACCAGGCCACGAAACCCCGGCCATACGCCTGCCGCCACCGCATCAGGCAGACAAGGCTGAGACGAACAACCCCAAGGCCCGGCGGACCGGGCCGGTGGGGAGGCCGCAACAGCCCCGCTTCCCAACGCTATCGCATAACGCACGCCCAGGGCACGCGACACAGGGCACCTCCCACCCCGACCGCGCGCCAGAAACCCAGACACCAACGGACGGGGCTCGAAACGAACGACCCCAAGCTCTGGCAAGCCAGATCAGAGGGAAGCCGCAACGGCCCCGAACGCCATACGATGCCGCGATTCAACGCGCGCCCAGGAGCAAGGGGACCAGGCCACGAAACCCCGGCCATACGCCTGCCGCCACCGCATCAGGCAGACAAGGCTGAGACGAACAACCCCAAGGCCCGGCGGACCGGACCGGTGGGGAGGCCGCAACAGCCCTGAATACCATGGGATCCTCAAACTTTGTGTACGATCAAGAGACGAGACACAAGGCAACGCCAGCTCAATCGTACGTCCGATACCGTCACGCCCGGGTGGACAGGACGGAGACGACCACCCCCCAAGCTCGGCGGGCGAACAAGGGAGGGCTCGCAACCACCCCGAACCCCATTCAACCAAAGAGGTCTGACGCGCGCTCAGGGATCAGCACCCGAAGCGACAACCCCCAGCCGCACGACCGCAACCGCCGCGACCAGGCCGATGGGGCCGAGGCGAGCAACCCCAAGAACCAGCGAACTGATCCAAGGAGGAGCCACCGCCGCCCCAAACGTCCAATGGCCGCGACAGCCCGACGCATGCATCAGGGACAACACCCAGGGCACCATCGCCCCAACCGCACGCCCACACTCCCCCCAGCAGGACCGCGGCTGACTCGCTTGTCCGGGCAACAGGTGAGTGTTCCGGGGAACACCTACCTCTCCAAGTAACAGGGCTTTTATCTTGAAGGCACACTGGCTTCAGGGAACGGACTCTCTGTACTGGAGACGACCCACTCCGTTCAGAAGTCTGAAAGGAGATGAGACGTTACATGATGAACTGGATGTCATCGCTCTCAGATGGCCGTGGATCCATCTATTCAAAAAGGAATTGTTAGGGTTAGAGGAGAAAGAGTTGGTTAGATGGTTAGGTTCCGGTCTACGACATGCATACACTCGGGTTAGGGAGCGACTATTTCGAGATAACTCACTGGTAAGTTACCTCCTGCCCCGGAGGACCGGGGCGAGGAGAAGAAGACACGAGACGGATCAAGAGTTTATTTAGAATT